AAGAGACAGGGGCAAAGTGCGATGCCTAAGATGTCTCCAATAGGAACTTGAGATAATCAAGTGGTGGTGGAAAGAAAGAAATTAAGGAAAATTTAGTAGCTTAAAGTAGTGTAGGTAGCAAAAGATTTCATTTATCTTACTCTAACAGACCATTTACAGGTACTTGATCATCGGGCCATGGCTATTCAATAATAATTTACACTAGTCCAAGTAGCTCCCTGTCGGCTAACAGGACACCCGATAGGCGGTTAACTTGATGTGAAGTCAAGACATCATGCATCATGGGATATCACATGTTTGTGGATGTGTGTAGGGATGTGTGTGGACTTGTCAGTTGATTTGAGGATTGAAGCTTTGCCAAGTCTAGAGCATACCTCCAAGAATTTGGCCATGGGATGGGAAGGAGAATCATCAAATGATTTTAGCAATCTGGGTACGTGGATTTTCAAGGTGTAATTCTGATTGGATGGTGGATCCGATCTAGACGGTTGACCATCACATAGGGCCAGGGATGGTTGCCACTATTGTTTTTCTTTTCTCTTATAGAGAACAGTTTCTCTTTTGCTTAGTATTCTTTTCCCAGGGTTAGTGTTAGGGCACTATAAATATGTAAGGCTATGACCAAAATTGATTCAATTTATTTGAAGATACAACAAAAACTAAAGGATTTTTCTCAATAAAATTCTGAGGGGTTTTTCTTTAATTTCTTGCTGCATCATAAGATCTCTTAATTGATACTAAGAAATATTCTCGAACAATATCAAACTTTTGTCTTACACCACAGAAATTTGCAGGTAATATGTGCACATAAGAAACCACAAGAAAAAGAAAAGAATAATTAGTAAGGTTTTACATCCCAAAACGAACTTCCTTTCTAATCTGATAAATTCCACACTTATGTCAAATCCTAGAACATGATTACACCTACATGGACCTCTAAATCTCATTCTCGATCATGAGGTGATAATGAAAAATTTCCGTGAATAATAATGCATTAAAAGTCCAATTCAGACCTCAGGGAAGACAAACAATAGATATACTTGTAAATACAGTAATTAACTTAATGATCATCCCTCCTTAGACAGGAGCAATAAAATTCTAGAGCATCTTGCCCTGATAAGTATAACTGTGAGTATTCTACACGAGTTTACAACACAGACCACAAGCATAACTGCAGCGTATCTAGGCCACTGTGATTTTACTCTAGCAGTTAAGGGTAATTAATGGGAACACGGTTTGAGTCATTAATACCAAGAGGAATTTGAATGATTGGGAGGTTGCTGAGTTTGGAGATTTGATGTCTGCTCTTGAGTCTGTGCAGGTGTCGAATAATGATGATCAGGTGGTTTGGAATCTGACAAAGAATGGAATATTGTCTGTGACATCATATTATAAGTTCTTAACTGAGATGGGTGCTGGAAACAGAAGAATCTTTCCTGCTAAGCTAATTTGGAAGACAAAAATTCCTCATCGCATTGCTTTTTTCGCATGAGAGGCATATTGGGAAAAAATCCTTACTTTGAACAGGCTGAAAAGTAAAGGCAAGATTATTGTAAATAGTTGTTACTGCTGTCTTAAGGCAGAAGAAACTTGTAATCATTTACTTTTGTGGTGCTCTACTGTGTATAACCTATGATGCAGGATTTATGGTTTGTAGATATTGATTGGTTAATTTCGGGTTCGGTTGGGGGAGAGATTTGGGCTTGGGATGGTTTATATGTTAAAAAAAAATTGTTAATCTCATCCCTTTAACTGTATTTTCGGTCATTTAGAAAGAGTAGAATAGAAGGGCTTTTGATAGTATAGAAAGTAGTTCTAATAGATTAATTGATTGGTGGATATATTTATTTGGGTCAATTGTGGTAGGTCATGACATCATTAACGATGGAGATTTTGGGGATGTCATTGATACATTAACTTCATTGTAGATGTTTTTATATATGGGTAGTACCCTCTTTTTTTTGGTACCTTGTGAATAATACTTTACACTTTTTATTTCAAAAAAAAATTACTACCAGAAAAAAATTTCAAGAATCATATTCACTAGTTTCTTACTCCTCATGAACTAATATACATATATATGTGCGTGACTCTGTTAGATACTTTTGAATATGACAATATACTGAAACACAAACAACAGTAAGAAAGATGATAGGAAGGGAATAGTAAAATATTAACCTCTTTACAAGATCTAGACTTGTTGGGACTAGCATGTTCAGGATTGCTGGTTGAAGACAATGATGAAGAAGTTGTCTTGAGTTTCTTAGATGGAACCTGCCTATCACTGTTAGATGCTATACTAGCATGACTTGAAAAACCAGTTTTGCTTCTGAGCCGAGATTGCAACTGACGAATAGACAGAACGGGATCTAGCATCTGCATTAATCACATTAGAGCATTATCCTCCTTTCTAAAATCTGGAGAAACCAAAAGATATCTTCAACAGATTGGCTTGCTCCCAAAGATACATGCAGCAGGAGTAAAGAACGAACAAAAAAAGCACATAGCCAATTAACAGAATGCATCTTACTAATAAGATACATAACACCAAATTGAATTTGGAAAACAATGACCTCACTTTTTTTTTTTAAATTAAAAGTGTAAAGTTTATATTAGCAAGATACCAAAAGGGGGTACCGCCCATGTGTAGCTTTACAATGTAGTTAGAGAATCAATGACATACCCAAAATTCTCATCACTAATAATGTCATGACCTAACAAACTAATCCTAAAATAATGAAACCATCTATCCCTTAATTTATACAAGTTCAGGTTAATGTCATCAAAGGGTCTAGCATTCCTCTCTTTCCAAATAACACAAAAGATGGTCAAAAGAATTAAATTTGCTATTTTCCTGTTGACACCAATCCCTTCCCAAGCCCATAACTCCCTACGAACAGTTCTAGAAATTACCCAATTTATTCCCAAAAGTTCATAGATCATGCTCCAAAGTTTGTATGTCACAGGGCACTAAAGAAGTAAGTGATTACAAGACTCTTCCACTCTCAAATAGAGGTAACAACAATTTACTATGATCTGCCCCTTTTTTCTGAGTTTATCAATGGTGAGTATACATTCTCTGCAGGCTTCCCACGTGAAAAAAGCAATTATTGGAGTTACCTTCACATTCCAGATTTGTTTCGTCGGGAAATTTGTAAAACCTCCTCATTGTCATCCACCAGTTGTCTGTAATACGAACCCACAGAATATTTACCACTCTTTTCCAGCTTTCACACCACCTTATCCTCACAATCTTTTATTTCCTGGGCCTCCAAAAGTGCTAATAATTCAGCATACTCATTTATTTCCCAATCATTTAAGTTCCTTGAAACATTTACCCGCCATTCAACATTATTGTTGCTCCTTCGATAAGCATCACTAACCAGCATCTGTTTAGATTAGGCAATCTCATAAATCCTTTGGAATTTCACCATAAAAGGATCAGTCCCAATCCAAACATCAAGCCAAAAACAGATTTTGCTACCATTACCAAGTTGCCATTTAATACATTGCCTGAATTTTGACCATTGCAGCAGGATTTTCTTCCAAAGACCTCCATCGTGCGGTCTGCTGGTGTGAGATCTGATTCTGCCAGAAGGCAAAACTGCAGTAGACAATTCTCCCCATCTTGCAGCAACAATGCTCTTCCATAATCTATTACCATCCACCAAAAACTTGCATAACCATTTCCCTTGTAGGGCGATATTCATGCTAGCAGTAGATCTTAAGCCCAGTCCACCACTAGCTGTTGGTTTTTTAATTTCCTCCCATTTCACCAAATAATACTTCCGCTTGTCTAACTCATTACCCGAAACAATGACCTCACTTTAACTAACACTAAGACTAACACTTAGTTAGGATAGAGCCTAGTAAAAGAAATGAAAGGAAATATGTTTCCTTTGTTTGAATAGGTAAACTTGAGAAAAAAAACAGGATTCTTATAATCCTCTGTTTGGTTTAGGAATGAGAAGGAAATGAAAAGATGTATTATAAGAAAAGTTCAAACTATGTTTTTTATTTAAAAGTTCCTGATCAATAAAGACAATTAGTCTATAGTGGACAAATTATATCAAAAGCTTCAAATCAATCGTTTTCTCTTCCTTTTCTCATGTTTAGAGAGAGGCAAAAAAATGAGTATTTTTCAGACGAAAGTAAGCATGCTCACCATCCTTTCTCTTTCTCTTTCTCATCATCCACTTTTCTCCCAACTAAAGAAAAGAATGATGAGTAAGAATGCCAAACCTGCCTCTCTAGGAAAGTAAATTGTAGTCGACCAATGTCATAGACTTCATCTATATTTACTTCATAAAGAAATTAAAACTTCAAGAATAAGAAATAGTCAAGAGATCATTGGTGAAACAGGATGCTTCTCTTCTGTTGTCTCTCTAAAAATAGGGTGGCATAGGTGATAGGGTTGCTATGCTCGAGGCCCTCCAAGAATCAATCCACATGAATTTCATTCACTCCTTTTGGTATAGACTTGTTTTAAGAGGGCTGCTCCACTAGACCTTCTTGAATAAAGCCACATGCTCCTTTACTCAAACTAAGGCAACTCCATTTAGCCCAGAAACATAATTAAAAGAGTAGATCGGATTTTTAACCCGTTGTGCCCACCTGAATTGGTCCACCCAAACTAACCACCAAAGAATGTTCATTTCATCCCAAAACTTAATTCGCTCGCTGAAATTTAGTTCAACTTGATCATTGCAATCCCACAATGTATCAAATTTCATATTGAAACTATTCATTTGATGGATCATTTAACCATCTGTAACAGGTAAAAAGAGTAGGTTTGGGACAAATGATAGTTTTTTTTTAGATAAAAGATAAAAGTATTATTATGAATATAGATATCAAGTGGGTACCGCCTGTATATAAAATAATTATATGTCAATCAAGTGGTCAATAACTACCCCAATATATTCTCAATCTAACATGTCATGACTCAACAAAATAGAACCAAAAGTGTGCATCCATTTATCCCTAATGTTTACAAAGTCAGTTTTAATTCCCTCAAAAGCTCTTGCATTTCTTTCCTTCCGCACTACTCAAAAAATGGTAAGTGGAAATAAAAGTAATTGCTTTTTCTTTCTACAAATACCTACCCACACCCACAACTCTTTACTTACATTACCCGCCATGACCCAACTCATCCCCATTATCCCAAACACATAAATCAAAATACTATGCACAGCCAGGCACCAAAGTAACAAATGGTTGCAAGATTCCTCATCAGCTTTGCGCATGTAGCACCTGTTAATAAGAATATTGCCTCTTCTTCTTAGCATATCCATGGTCGAGATACTTTCTCTAGAGACTTCCCAAGACAAGAAAGTCATTCTAGGTGGAGCTTTGGACCTCCATATTTGCTTGAAGGGTGTTGCCATACCATCCTGCCAGAATCTAATTCCCCGGCCATTACCCAGCTGCCACCCTATGCAATTCAAGAATCTGCTGCTGTCACCACATATTTTCTTCCACAAACTCACCCCATATGACTTATACTTCCCTCTTCTCCCCCCATCCCGCTCCCAATCACCCCATCTTGCCTCCACCACCTTTCTCCACAATTTTCCTTCCTTATAACAAACCTCCAAAGCCATTTGCCACGTAGTGCAGAATTCAGCTCCCCAATGGATCTTAACCCAAGCCCTCCCCCGTAAAAGGGTTTATTCGCAGCCTCCCACTTCACTAAATGATATTTTCTATTCCCCTCTTCATCTCCCCAAAGAAATCTACATTGTTAAGATAGAAAGGTGATAGATTGGTAAGTTTGTTAAGGTGCTTTTGATCAAAATAAGCCTCCCTTCTTTAGATAAAAAATTTCTCTTCCATCCCGCAAGCTTTTTCTCAAACATTTCCACAATAGGATGTATGGGACAGGTGATAGTACGTGGATAAAAGAGATAAATCATCTCCTTAGGCCAGTCCATTCTATGTGGTCAGAAAGCTACTCAAGAGAAAGAGTAAAATCCACCTCTTGGAGGAGACAAAAATTGAAAAAAAAAAAAAAAAAAGCTCAAAAGCACTTCTGAAAAATTAAAAAAAAAAAAAAAGAAAGTTTTGAAAAATGAAAGCCAAAAAAGCAAAATTTAAAAGTATCCAAGGTATATTAGTACGCTTAGGTAGACAGATATAAAAAAGAAAAAATAAATTAAATTAAATAGCTAATAAATGTTTTACATAGTTCATGCTCAAGAAATTGTCGTCCTTCAATTCCTTGGAACTTCATTAGTCAAAGCAGGAACATATGACACAGCCAAAAAATTCAAGATGTGTTGAAGAAAACCATGTGAAGCATGTCCCACAGAGCATATGGCAATATCAACCTAGGAAAACAAAAGTTCCCTAGACCTTAAAGAAGGCTGGACCATTCATTCCTCTACCATCCGTAACTTGACCATTACCCTACTGGCAGTTATTTAGAGTCAGGTCATTACTCATAGTTGTTACAAAGCAATGACTGTTAAGTTTATCCAATGTGCTGATTAACGCTAAAGTAGTTGTATATTAATCCTGAGATGATGCAAAAGGTTGCCTTGAGGATTTTTAGGTTACAAACTTTTTGCAGTTTTCAATTTTGTAGTTACAGGAGTTCTAATACTTGTACTGTCTTTAGCAGGTTTCTGATACTCCCCTGGTTCTGTGTGAAGATACTGCATTCTCAAAGGTGTTTTCTTTGGATGTTATCCAATGCCAATAGAAACATACCATTATGCTACGCCAGTGGGCATAGACTTCTATAAATAGGAAAAGAAAGGTGTGGAAGAATCACTTTCCACTCTTGAACACTCGAGTTGTCAGTAACCCCTCACTATCTTCTCTATTAAACTGAACTTAGTTGTACATTGGAGTAACCTTTAGAGATAAAAATCATGGTTGTGTTTGTTTCTATGTGCATGCTACTGGACCATGATGCAGAAGCTCTATTCTCAACTAGCCATCCTCCAATAAAAACAACATCACCATATTCTTTTCAAACTCCAAGGTCATACGATGTGGAAAGAAAGACATTAACAAAAATGATAATACAATGGGAAAAGTGATTAATAAAGAATAATTGAAATTTGAGTAAATAAATCAAAAGCCACTGAGAACTGGTGACCATAGATGTGATTCACCCATTAATGGGCAAATAAGATGCTTGAGAAATAAGTAAATACTTCATCAACTTCTGGTGTAAGGTCATTCACACTCTGCTGAAGTAGTGTCTTCAATCTATCTCTTGTGACATCTGATAACCCAGCTCCTATAGCGTTGCAAAATGAACCATCACCACTATAACAATAGTCATCTGCCTTCTTTTCTCTAACCTCCACACTTTTTCCCTTGGAACACCCAATGGTTCGGGAGCTGGGAAGTGAATTCCCATCCTGCAATAATAGTTCTGATATTGCAGATGTATAGTAACCAAAATAATCAGGTCCTATTTTGCTGTTTTCAGTCGGAGCTGGAGCTTCTGACATAACAAAGCGCGGAAGCAAACTGCATATGCCAACAATAATTCACGAGCATTCACACGGTAAATTGAACAAAAACAGACTCTTTTTCAGAAGTATGAGAAACAAATACAGAATGTCAAAACATAATGTCATAAACAAAACACAAAATGTCTTAAAAAATAAAGAACGCAGGCTACTTATGCACATGAATATAAATATACGTAATCATATGATATATGTATATACCTAAATTTGAAAGCAAAAATAGCATGCTGCTAGAAAATCCACTTTAATTTAAACGCAATGAGACGATATGTAAACCTTTTTCTTTATTCGCAGTTAGCACTAGTTCCTTGGCAACTAAGCAGAAAAAGAAAGAAACCATATCCAAATCCGAGAAAAAAACACAAACAATAGTGACAACTGTGATATTACAAGTGAGTTAGTGGAAGGAGACGACATCTAAACTCCATCTCAATACCTTCGAAATTTAACAGAATGAGACGACATCAAAAAACAGTTCTCTCTATTTACAGCTCGGATTAGTTTCTCAGCAACTAAACAGAAATTAATGAAAAATCGAATTCAAATCCGAGAAAAACCAAATAATGAGCGAGTGTTACACGTGAATTTGTGGAATGAGAGTATCGAGTTTGTTTGGAATACCTTCAGTCCCGCAGCAAAAACACCGGAGATCGCAGATCCAGTACGAACTCTGGTTCTCTGGAGAGAAGAAGGGCCGGGAACTGGAAAGCTTCTGGATATATTTAACCGCTCCTGGGAATCCCCGTTATTTAGATAAAAATGGGTTTTTTTTTTTTTGCGTTAGATTCTTTTAAAAAAAAAATAAAAAAACTTAAAACATAAAAAATATTTATTATAATTTAATTCTTTATATTTTTTAATAAAAAATAAAATAATTAAATTAAATTTAGATGCTCTAAAAAAATAATTTTATTATTATTAAAAAATTAAAGTTATTAAATTAATATTATTAATAAGTTAATATCTAAATTGTTCAATATAATAGAATTATTTTAATTTTTTTATGAAGAAATTTTTTTATTAAAAAAATAAATATTTAAAATAATTAAAAAAAACATCCAACATTAAATTATAATAAAAAATATTAAAAATAAAATTATAATAAATGTTAAATTTTCAACACTAATTTTTAATTTCTTCTTAAATTTTTAAAAGATTTATATTAACAAATTTACCAGGCACACTTTATGCACGAATTTATTTAAAAACAAAAAAAAAAGATAATTAGTAATAAATACTAGTGCACCAAATCTAAATTAATAAGGATTATACTTGTGTCAATAAAAACTAAATTATAACCAATTTAAAATATTTATACCCAGAATTAAAAAAAAAACAAGTAATATAAAAAAAAACAGAGAATATATGAAAATCAAAAGATGCCCTCAGTGTGTGTGTATATATATATATATATATATATATTATCAAATATGCATCATCATCATCATAACGTATACAAATGATATAGAATCTGTCAAAAATGGCTCATAACCAAACAAGGTCTTATTACAGCCATTTGCAGATTTATCTTAACATTCTCATACAAGACATAAAAGTAAAAAAAAAAACAAGCACAAAACAGAAGTAAACCCAGTTCATCTTTATTTCATTCAAGCAAGTTTACCATAAATGGAAACTCTGTATGCAGCATCACCATCATCATCATCATCTTCAGAGTATCAGTATTCAACATTGGTTTCTGGAACACCCTCATGATCATGGCAACATGTGAAAGTCACGTGCTTCACCATCATCCTATTGCACTCAGCACACTTCATGCTCTGAGGAATCCTCCCGGTGCCGGCCGTCACAGGAAAATCAAACCGGCTGCAAGGGTTCGCAATGCCGTGGAGCATGCTGTGGTAGTCTTTAATGGACTCGTCAAAACCTTTAATGATTACTTCTTTCTTCCATGAATTCTCGTAGTCTAACAGAGTTGGCAGAGCTGTGCTTCCATGGCCGACGATTATTAACTCAGACCCTTTGGCCAAGACTGCCCATCCGCCTACTTTGTCGTAGCTGAGGAGCTTCTTGATTCCTTGCATGACGGCGTCGTGTTCATCTGCTTTGTCGAGCTGGATCTTGGAGAACAACATGCTTTGTAGCCTGGGTCCAGAAGAACCAGACCATGGCAGGATCTTGCCAGCAATGGCTGATTTTTTCTGCTGCGATCGTCGCCGTTACTTTTCTTACTTGCTCTCTATGGCTGCTCTTCCCTACATAGACCATCTCTAGTGGAATGTTTGAGTCTCTGGCCACAAATCGAGCTGCGCTGGTGAACTTTCTTATCCATTCTATGTCTTCTCCTCCATAGAGAAATATATATCTGCCTTCTCGAATCTGATCAGACCAAAACAAACAAAGACGATTACCCATATATATATATGTATAAGTATAGAGTGATTGGAACAGATTTGAAGGTTTTGGGGATATGGGTTTTGTTTCTTGATGAATTTAGAGTAATGGGTTTTTTTTATTTTTCTTACCCAGTTGAGGATGACTTGATCAATGCCATTAACAAGAAGGTCAAGCCTCCATGTTTCTTCTCTCCATAGAGTTTCTTCTTTCAAGCTGGTGAAAGGGAAGGCTGCACTTCCCCAAATCCACATCATGTGGATTGCATTAGGGCTAACTACTTTGCCTTGTGGGTCAAGCACCACAAGAATTGCCTTGTTCCTGAAGTGCCATTCCTCCTTGACGAAATCAATTACCGGCTTCTGAATTATCTTCGGATGATAAACTGAGTACCATGGCATTGTTTGTTGCAGAGCTTCAAATCTGTTCTGTAATGACTGCTTTTCATTCCATTCGACTGCAGGATCAACAATTGGAATCCAGACAAGTTCAAATAGTCCATCTCTCTCTGGCCTGGTTAAGTGCTGTCTTGATTCGGTATAAATGTGTTCAAGAATTGAAAGCTCATCTTGGGAGATGTTTAGGCCTGAAATAAGCAGCAATACATTCTTCCTCCTCAAGACTTCAAGGTTAACCTGTTTAGAAACTCGATTATTAATTTTGACACCGATCCAGAAAAGAAAACTCTGATAGAAGTTACGAATATGTTAATACGAATTGAAGGCGAAAGTAGAATTGTTCTTCACCCTTTTCATATTAGCTCCACCATCTACAAGAGGCTGTACGTCATCCTTGGCATAGATTATAGCCTTGAGGACTCTCATGTTATCGATATGGGTCATACGAAAGAGATCATGAAGCATCTTTAAGGCTTCGAGATTCTTCTTCTCCTCTGCAATATCGAGTAATGAATTACTTACAAGGATTCTTAGAAGTCACTTGTATGATCTTTATGTGTAAATCATGCTTATATACAATTGAACTGGGAAGAAACAAACCAATGAATCGATTGCAAAGCTTCAATCTCTCATTTAGATGATCATGTATGGTGTTGAGCTTGTGAGCTAAGGTGGATAATTCCCATGATTCAGTTGGTGAATAGGCTAGCCTGAAAAAGATTGATGCAAACCAAATTCGATCATGTAAAAATATCTTTATCAACTGCAATAATTGAGTGAAGTTATACAGTAACAAGCTGCATACTCATGGCTCATGCTGGTGATCATTGTGATCTGAGCTGCACAAGCCACAGCACTCCTTATAGTCCAGTAGACAGCAGTTGGAATATGAGCCATGGCAGTGGAGAATTCCGGGACTTCTTCCGAAATGTAAGCATCTGGTAATTCTCTGAACTCGACAATACACCTGGTTACATCCATCATGACCTTGATCAAAGTGTTAAGTGCGTTGAACTTGGATCTCAATGCAGCCGAATGCTCCAAAATGTTAGGCACTTGTTTCAGGATTGCCATTGATTTTGCAAGCTGGTTCGATGAGTATATCTGGGCAAGCAGCCAGAATTCTCCGTAGTTAAGAGCAAACGCTGCAAGAGTCAGGACTAGTTTCGCATCCCATTGATAGTTTGATAGGAGATGACATAATGACATTGTTGTTGCATGAACATCTGATCCACTCAGTGCCTTGTATGCTATCTGATCATTGTCAATCAATACGTACACAGACGTACACATTGTTAACATCATATATTTATGAGCGAATACAAATATACAACTGGGTTTATGAAGTAATGTTAAAAGTAAACAGCAAAATAAGAAAAAATAAAAAATTTAATATTATTTCGATAAATATACTTACATTCATGAGTAAAATTGAGAAAAAACTTTTTAGTATAATAAAATAAAATTATATCACTAATAAAATTATAAACTCTTTTATAGATAAATTATTAAAATTTTCTCTCAATATATTTTTTAAAATATATATAAAATATTCTCTAAAATATACACAATATTCTTATAATCAAGCTACATCAACTAGTAATTTGCTCAGTAAAATTGGAAACTGACTAACCTCACAAGCAATCCTGTCAATGGTGAAAGAAAGTGCCTCAAGCATATCAATGAAGCTGGCTTGGTCGGACTTATCCTCCAAGTTCTCCATGTGTTTCTGAGGACCCTGCAGCATATACATACACATATATATATCAAGTAACTAACCAAGGGGTAATATTAATCATCAAATTTTACAAGAACATTCATTTCAGAATCAGATCATATACCGCAAGAACAGCATCAATAGGAAGGGTAGACCGATTAAGGATATCCTCAACAAGCCCAAAAAGGGGACGGACTTCAACTTCCCGGCCATCCGGAGTATGAGTTGCCTGAATTTGCTTCATCATCATCGTGTCATCCGACATGGTTAACATGCTCCTATGATCAGTACTCTTCACAAGTTTCTGGCTCGAACTCGGATTAGACCTGATCAAACCGAGAATATCCCTCGGAGGGGATACAATCTTCCTGTCACTCTCCATCAGCTTCTGGTCAGCTGCAGCAGTTGCAGGCTTATTGGCAAGGTTTTCATTGGAAGCTGTTAACATGCTTTTGCCATTACTGGTAGCTGGTTTCTGTTGGCCTGCAGTGGCAACAGATTTCAAGAGAAGATCCATTAGAGAGCAGACACGGGAAGAGTTTTCCTGGCGGTTTTAAGAGACAGAAGAAAGAAGATTTAAGAAAATGGTTTGTGTCTTTGTTGCAAATTTGACAGGTATATATATATATAACATATATGTTTCTGTGGATGTATAATCATATGAAGGCGGAATATTACTTCCTTGTTTCCAGTTAAATTGTTGGGACGTTTACAAGAAACTTAAAACCTTTATGCCCGTCCTTCTCTTCACTTTAGTGCACCATTTCTGTGACCATGAAGCTTAATTTGTCTTACTCACCAAACCATTCCTTGACTGGATACTTAATGTCTATACTTTTTCTTACAAGAATATAAAGGTTAATTGTGTTAATGTTAGTGTGCAAATATGTAGTATTAAGTGTGTTAGATATTATTCTTGAGAGAAATAATCTGATTTGGCTTTATGTCTTTCAAAAAAATTCGTCCTTTTTTTCAGACAATATATACAAAGAAATCCTCACTTAATTATAAATAATTATGAATTTTCACTATAAAAAATTTAAATAAATTTATATTAATATTAATCTAAATAATTAATGGGTTAAAAAGTACCAGTAAAAATTTAATTTATTTAAATTAATATAAGATGAGCTTGAGTTCTCGTTGTCTATCAAATAATCAATTACTATGAGAGAAGTAATACCTCAAATATAACAATAAGATTAATGGGAAGATTATAATAACCTATAAGATAATATATGTTTGATCTTTATATTAAATTAACGAGTTTTAATTCACTGGTCAGCTCATTTTTATTAGGAGTTGAATGAATTTTAGTCCTAACTTCATTTTTAGTACGTGAAAGAAGTGATTTGTTCGATTAGTTAAATAGGTTCTGTAATATTTAGAGACAGATATTAAAGGGTAATGATTTGCTAATCTGTCTCAATTTATTCTAAATAAAGAAAATAAGAACTCACATTTATGAGATATTGTACGAATAGAGGCAATTAGTACAAATCTAAAAATGGGTATACGATATATATGAATTTAATGTACCTCATACCTACTTTGATCTGTTTTACTATGTATATGATTAATAAAATTTTATTTTTTATGCCTAATTCTAATTAAATTTTATTAAATAAATATTTAATATTATTTTATTGGGTATTATTATGTTTAACCTTTATTTTAAATTATATTTCGCTTCGATTGGTATTGAATTTTCTAATTAAACTACAACTAAGGTGTATAAAGGATAGAAAATTCTACCCGCGAGATGGATGATCGGTAAGAAACTTTTTTATCCACTTTAATACGGGACAAGTATGAATTTACATTTTCGCCAATAAAACTTAGGTATAAAAAATTTACGTAGCCACTTCATGTTTGTTTCGTACTCACGTCGTATCTATCCGTAGTAATTTTTATCAATAAGAAATTATCAAATACTATAATATTACTAACAAATCTAGAAAATTTGAAGCATAATTTATTAAAAATGAATTAAAAACATGTTGGGTTAGAAATAAACAATGAGAAGCATGTGTTTGGTTCCTATTTTCCTTCTTTGATTCCTTTTCCTTTCTTGGGACAATGACTAAGAATTTAATGTTGCCACCAGACAAAACCCCCCCCCAAAAAAAAAAAAAAGAAGGAAGATTTGATTCTTTGCTTTTCAATGTAAACCTTAACATGATGTGTGTTTTATTTTGACAGTGAAGCAAAATAATATTAATTAAATTAATTAATCAAGGGGGGGAAAACAAAATCACCTTTTGTAAGATTTGAGCTTTCATTGTTTATATATTTATGTTTGGTTGAGATTTTCTTTAAGAGTTATGTTTGAAATTAATTCACAAATAATGGAAAATTTATTTGTAAATTTCATAAATTAAAGAAATTTAATCGACACAAAATGTTTATTTCGCTCGAATATGTCATGATTCGTTAAAACTAAATTCAATCTGGTCATCGCAACGGCAAATTTTATGTTTCCATTGAAGTTTGAGCTTATGACTGTTTACTTAAGTAAAGGGTACAGATCTTAACTAGTAAACTATTTATACATTCTCTTAGCTAAACTGATTGAAATTTGATATAAATTTAATTTTGAAATATTTTAGATGTAATTTTTATGATTTTTTAATTAAAATAAGTATAGATTAAATTAGACGGTCTGTATATTATTTTTTTTATATCAAAGATCACGTGACATTTAACAAAACCAATAAATAACTAAAAAAATATTATATGTGGAGATGATGTTAGAGGTTAATAACAAGGAGGAAGTAGTTTTGAAAATACATGAACTAATAATTTAGTGTAAAATACAAGTAAAGATTAAATTTGAATAAAAAATAAAAAATATTTAAATTAAAAATATATTTTAGTCTATAAAATATTATTTTTAATTATATACCTTATTGATTAATTTTTTAAAAAAAAAAATGTTTTATTTATATGATATATTTATACAAATATTAATTAGTAAGTTTTGTAATGGTCCCATTCATCACTGTACGTTTACCGTTGGGTCCTTCTTCCCCGTTTCTGTTCGCTCAACGATTCAAATCCCTTAAATTTGGTAACTTCGCTCTTTTCTTCTTCTTCTTCTTCTTCTTCTTCTCATGTACTCTCTTTTCTTCCTTCTACATTTAATACGCCTCGAATGATTCACTAATTTTCAAGTGTGAAGTAAATTCTAGGTTTTATTTGTCCGTACGGTTTTTCTGTGAAAAACTGAAGTGGAAATGGCCTTTTCTTGGTGCAAATTTGAATGAATTATTAGTGTTGTCGATTAGGTTTCATTGACAGAGTAGGAATTTGATTCATAGCTGAGAATGTAAGTGGAATCTATAGGCGTGCAAAGAAAGGCTGTGGAGAAGTTAATTCAAATTAGGAATACCAAGGGGTTTTTATGAGTCCACTCTGTTTCTTTTTAGAGAAGAAAGTGAAAAAGAAAAGAAAGACTACAGTAATAAGCAATATTATTTTAGAAGGATTTTGTCAGCTTTTGTGCTTGATAATGTAATTGGAAAATTCACAAGGAAAAATCTACTCCTACTAGCTTTTAAGGAAATCAGATTCAAAAAGTAGCATATAAGTGGATGCTTACTTGGTAGCGGACCCGGTATTTTTTCAAATACTTTGAGGATTATTAAGTTAACAAGAACGCACTTACATGGATTGATTGGTTTATGTTTAACAAATAGAGCTTTTATCTTTAGACTTCTGTTTCTTAATATGTAAAATTTTATGATAAACTTCGTACTTTACTTTATTTATACTTGAACTAACAGTTCTGCTGTTTTGAATTGTAAAATGATATGTTGTTGTTACTTTTTTTATCAATGTAGATATTACAAATTTATGTCATTTAAATTAAACATGAAATTAATAACTATTTTTGTTCAAAAAATTTTCTCAGTTCGATTGCATTTTTATTTCCATTTTAAGAAAATTATCATTTCAATCCTATGTAATTGCTTCAGGGCTTCTGGCTGTTGTTCTTTTTTGTATTGGATATTGGTCTGCCAAATCCACAGAAAATTCTCTCTCATTTTATCCTTTACTTGTCTCCTTACATTGTGTTTCACCATTTTTTTCTCATTCTATCAGGAATGAAGCATCTTAGGCTTCATTTAATATAGGAAAGTTTTTACTCTTTGTTTTTTATTTTCTAATCCGTCTATTTTTGTATTCGTTTATTTAGTAAAGTATGTAAGAAGTGTGTTTTTGTAGAATAACCAATGGCTAATAACAATTAACTTTTTAGAAAATACTATTAAAGCAACATTTTAAAATGTTCTTACTTCATCATTGTTTTTATTGTTATTTTCTTGATTACTAACTGATTTAAGATTTGTTATAAATAAAATACATATAAATATAGAAAATGAAAATTAAAACATTTTCAGTATCCAGTTCAAAGAGCTTGCCAAAGACTTCTAAGACAGGAAAAGAATGCTACAAGAAAGACTAAGTCACTACACTTTGCTGTGGCCCAGCCAGTCTTCCAAGGTTGTTCTCTATTTTGTTTCTTTTCGTCTTGTTGTTAGCAGGTATGTCATTTATCATGAGTGTTTACCTTTGAATAAATCTCACTTGTCCTTGGATCTAACACGAATATTTACATGATATGCCAGTGGTATTCTTTAGGCAAAAAATATTCATGCCAATCTGGCTATAATTATTATGTTCCTTTGTCTCATCCTATATGCCACTCTTATTTTCCTGTATGCTTTCATCCAAATGCCACAGTTTTTCCCACCCAAATTATTACATTAAGTTTATTTCAAAGTATTATCCTGTGAAATAGGAATGGAAAATAATAGGATACAAATATAATATAAATTTTAATGAAAATAAACTAATTTCAAGTCTAATTTCTTGCCTTACTCAAATTGGATGATCTTTTAATTCGTTACTCAATAGGTTGAAAACAATTTCATGGTTGTAGGGCTTGAAAAGATGAACTTGATTCAATTATGCATATGTGGATACTTGATCAAGAATGAATAAGTGGATAACAAGTTTCCTTTCCAACAAATATGGAGAGTGGATGCTCCTCCAAGAACCTCTTTCTTTGCTTGGGAAGCAGGACATGGATGTATTTTGACCATCGGCAAGTGATGAGAAGGGAAAATATTTTGGTGAACGGTGCTATCTTCGTAAGAGAGCGGAAGAGACATGCGATCATATTTTATTATGGTGTCCCTTAGCGTATAGTTTATGGTTTATGGCATGTGGGTGGTTGGGCATCAGCTGGGTAATGGCAGCTACTGTTAGGGAGGAGTGATGGGCATGGAAGGGTGTTTGTGATAGGGAAAAAATATTTAAAATTTATTTCTCTTACTATCTTTTGGATGGTGTGAAAAGAAAGAAATACAAAGACTTTCGAAGGGTGAAAGAGGAAGTCGATAAGGTTAAAGTCAGATAGTATCAAACCTTGGACTTTTGGGCTACGGGTACCTTTTTGTATTCCCTGGAGGATCTCGGTACCCTTATGGATGCTTTGATTGACACATAAATAGCAAGCTACCCAGGTTGACATCCTGACGGCGCGAGTACCTTCTAAATTCATAATGTCCCAGACCGCGAAAAAAAAAAAATTACGCATATGTGGAAAGT